TTTGTGCATGCAGTGCAAGTTTGATGTAATGTCTGAGTTAGAGTTTAGTCAAATCAGATGTTCTATAATTACATTGGAATAAAAGATCATCACCGTAATAACACAAGGGTGAGTAACTCTAAATTGCTTCTTATCCCTAGCAATATGTGCCATTGGAACTACTTGAAAATATATTAAATCAACATCTAAGAGAATGCAACATTAAATATTTGGTTAAGGCTGTTGCTTAAAGTTTCAAATGGTCCAAGCCAAGCTAGTTAGTAGCCCATCTTAGCCTTCACTGGGATCTTAAGGGCTTGTATGATATTTCTTTATTGTGTCGCGGCATAAACTTCTACTCGTTTAGGGTATTTGTCAGATGTCTATTCTTTGTTAATGATGCATTTCAGGATATGTGATGAATGAAATGTCGAGGCCCAGCCTATTTTGCAGACACCAGCCTTCATGACATTTAAAGGAATTATTTTTCTTTATTTGGTGGATTCTAAACTCTTTTGGCAATGAAGCCCAATGTTTGTGTAAGTTTATGTGACTTTGTTTCTTTTATCATTCTGTGAATGGTTCTTTGTGGATCCTTTAGTCTTTGTATTTTTGCATTTCTTGCTTGTGTTCAACTTTGTTGAATTGAAATTACCAATAATGTTCTCAGAGAACTATGCTTCCTCTTGCATAAAATCCATCACTTCAGCAAGCTACTCACCAGCCTCATCCTAGTTCTTCTGACCAGGACAAATGGCGGAACATGGGTTGTTTTAGCAATGGTTCACAAGGCTCTGGAGACAAGCTTAGGATTCCTAAGGTTAAAAGCATTAAAGCTGGTCAGCTCTTCAGCGCTCAAAATTCTGCTTCTGCTATTTCATTTCCTGAGGGTAACTACGTTGATGATCCTTCCAGAAGTCAAAAGGATGGGAAAAATGCTCCACAGTGTGTTTCTCTGCAGCTTCTCTTTGTTTTTTTTTCTATTTTGGTCATTGCCGCTTCTCTTTGTCACAATCCTCATAAAGCTATCCTTGATTACCTTATTTCAGTCAATTTATATATTTGGTGGAAGCATAGAATATGCAGAATTCATTCAACTGGTTCTTTCCAGTGGATTCATTTACCTCTAGATATGTATAGATCGAGACTTAGGATCATTACTTGGTGCAATCTTAAAATTTTGCGGCTGAGAAATGTGAAATTGTCGGTTCGAGAATAAACCCAGCCAGCCACTTTGCAAAAGAATGTAACTTGAGTTTCTCCAAGGCTTGTCCTCCTAGCACCCTGAATTGACAAGGCTACCTTCGAATTCCATTGTTGTTTATATTTCTAACTATACAGGATAGAGTTATTTGATTCTTTTGACTTCTTTGGAACTGCGTTGAGATAAAAAAATTGCCACATGCTTAGCCTCTAAGTTTTTTTGTGTCAGCAATCCGAACTCCTTTGTAATTTGTTCAAATTTTTATGCTTATCAACCTTTTCCAAACCAAAGATGTCTGTGTTGAGGTTCTATTTTTTTTGAAACTTGTGGAAATGAACCATTCCTTATATATACAAGTTTGCACAAATGATATTTATTTAAGAGATTGTTATACTCTTTCTTGAGGCTTGAGGTTTACATATCAGTTTTCTAGAGGATAGAATGGTTTTTCATCTTGCTCAGGAGTCAGGAGTAGTTTATCGTTATACTGTGAATAGGATTACAACATTCTTTTGCATTCTCAACTGAGAAATATTTATTCTATTATGGTTCCCTTATCTCGCATTAGGGTCCTCCCCCCTTCCAACTTGAAAAAAGGACAAAAAATACTTAAAAACTTGTATGGAAAAAGTATGTCATTTTCTTCTGAACTCATATAAGTTTGATTCTTTTGATCAACAGGGTTGTTACCTAGTTTGGTCCTTGTTAAGTGGGGGTGCTGGAATAGGTGGATTGCATATCTAAAATTTGGCACTATTTACATTTGCTGTACTTGGATTAGAACCCCTGATGTCAATGTTATTGGTCCAATATTACTTCCATTGTACCACTACCAGGCAAAAATCCTTGGCTCCAGGCCCTTTGACTTTATAGATACTAAAAATGTGAGATAATATGGAGTATTAGAAAAGAAGGGCAGCTAGTCATTTTTTTTTTCTTTTTTGTAAGCTTNTACCAGGCAAAAATCCTTGGCTCCAGGCCCTTTGACTTTATAGATACTAAAAATGTCAGATAATATGGAGTATTAGAAAAGAAGGGCAGCTAGTCATTTTTTTTTTCTTTTTTGTAAGCTTATAGAGTAACATTGGGCTGCACAATAATGACAAGAGTTTTTGAACCATGTTATTGAATTGTGACTATTGGGTTTGAGACTTCTTGGAATGTAATATTAGCCATTTGGATTCTCAACTTGCTTTTACCTTTCTTTTTGGATAAGTAATAAGGATAAAATGGAGGACGAGACATCATAGTAACAATCATTACAACGACGACAAGCAGAAATACAACAAAACAAATCCAAACAAAACAATAGTATAAGTCACACAATGAAGAAATGAATTTGCTTGTACTTTTCATAAAGGGATTATGAACAAGTGCACCTCTGAATTGACTGGAGTGCAGCCAAGGTTGATGTTGAATCCTTTCGAATTAGTCTACATGTATTTTTTTTTTCTGTGCTGGGGATGCTGCACTTTTAAACACTTATTTAATTTTTTTTGTAACATTCATATATTTCCTTCTCAAGGTAAAATTACAATCGATAAATTACTTTTTCAAGTGCGTATCTTTCTTAATGGAAGCTTTTCTTTTTTTNTGCACTTTTAAACACTTATTTAATTTTTTTTGTAACATTCATATATTTCCTTCTCATGGTAAAATTACAATCGATAAATTACTTTTTCAAGTGCGTATCTTTCTTAATGGAAGCTTTTCTTTTTTTTATTTGCTTGATATAGTTGTTTCCTTTTGATTGGGTACTTGAGGTTATCATCCAATTACCAGGTACAATACACTGATTTTTGAAGCACTTTCAACCATCAAAGATTCAAATGGAACTGATATTGATGCCATTGTTGGCTTTATTGAGGTCAGATAGACATTTATCATGTTCTTCATCTCTTTGTTTACATTTTATGCTAGGTTTCTATGAAGGAGCTATATTAGTAATGAAAAAAAAATTTGGTGGAATGTAATATTTGGTCAGATAGGCACCAATTTGACTGCAGGATTTTTCAGGAGTGTTAAAATAAGGTTTTGGAAGTAATTATGGGATATGCTTCTCAAAACACGTCATAATCTATGACTTTTGCTATGTTGCTAATATTTACTCCTTAACTTTTGTGTTTGTTTTTATTCGTTGTCTTTATACTTCATGCTGTAGAGTTTTCTGGATTTATGTTTCATTTCTTTAAAACATCTCATTGCTGAGAGATCAATTACCACTTTATTAGCCATTTCTCCTTTTCATTGTATATATTTTTTGTCTTCGTTTATTCTTATAACTTAGATCTAAATGTAGGTGGAAATGCATAAACAATGATATGCGTTGATGGACACTTTTTTATGTATAGTAGACATTGTTTGAAAGATTTGGCTAGTTGCTTAAGAATTGAAGTCGCTATAAAGGTCCTCCTACTTTCTTTGATAATACTTATACGCGGAGTAGACAGGGATGGAACTTAAGAGAGGCCTGAGGGGGCCATGGCCCCTCCCATACTTTGCATAACCCCTAGGTAGATTTACAACAGCGTAAAATACACCCAGCTACACTATGCATTGGCTCCCCCACCAAAAGATAAATCTTGCCACTTGAAGTGGTACATGGGTGCAAAGCCAACTAACAATGTAAATTTTATTCTCTTGCTTGATAAAATAATATTTTGTTGCCATTATGAACTTTTTTTTGTTAAATTAGGAAGTCATAAAAGATAAAACAATATTGCATTTCAAAATTCACCAGAAAGCTTAATAAAATATTAAAAGAACTCTTTTACCAATACAATACTCGGTTAGTAAATTTTGATTAAAAAATATTCACTTTCCTAATATGCCTAAATTCCAAACAAAGTAACATACTGAATCCTAATTAGTTTACAAAACAAAAACTAAAGACCTTAAAGGCTTGAACCATTGTAATTTGCAAGCAACAGAGAATGATATAGGTATACACCGTAGACAAAAGCTCTTCAATATATATTATTTTTTGCATTCAAGAAAAAAATTACAGGCGAAGGAAATATAATCAAGTTACTTTTTGTAACCTGATTAACTGGTCATTGTTTTGTTATTGATTATCGATTAATTTTTTTATTCTTGATAAAAAATTTTACGTGGAGAAAGTGTATTACCTGTTTCTTTGTGCGATATACTAAAGCAAAACCTATGATTATTTTTTATTTAATTGTTTATCTCATGTCAGAAAAATTAAATCTAGGATAATATTGTTTTTTATGTAAAATTTAACTAGGTTTGTGTATATAGAAAAAGAATTTGCTAAACAATTTAGCATGGATTCAACATAGATGGATTCTGTGATAAAAAGAATATCGAGTTCCACTTTGATAGGCGTCTCGCAGATATGTAATAAAAAACTATTCATTTGGTTCATTTTTGTCGATATCTTAATTTATATTGAATATCATTAATTTGTTTGATTTATTTTTGTAAATTCTAAATTTTGTTAATGGAGTTTGGCCCCCCACAATGATAAAATTTTGGTTCCGTCCCTGATAGTAGACACTATATATCTCTACCCCACCAGAAAAAAAGGAGAGAAGCAGACAACCCTCCCCTTGCACTCCATTTATTTGAAAATATAGAACAACCAAACGTGTATAGAACCAGATGTAACATCTTCAGTGGGATATGAGGTTTTTTTAATTAGTGGGTGGCATGCTTTATAATATCAAGTAACAGATCTTATGGTTCTTACCCAACCAACTACTGGATGCATATGGTTCATATTCCTAATTTTTGTGAAAAGAAGCATTTAAGAGAAATATTTGATGGCATCTGATTAGTTGAAAGATAATACTAGTGAGACTTTTGGTACAAGGTAACTGAGGTGGGCGGCATTTTTTTGCTGCGGGGAGGTGAGGGGGAAGGTTTCATTGGGTCTCTCACCTCCAAAGATTCCCCGTGCTATGCATAAATGGCTTCGCAAAATCTCTTTAGATCAACTCTTTACTTATAAAATTTTCATGGCATTTTATTTCTTGGAGTAATGCTGACGGTCTCCTTAATTTTTCACATCTATTGCAGCAAAGGCATGATGTGCCTCAAAATTTCAGAAGGTTATTGAGTTTGAGGCTGAGAAGGCTTGTTTTGCAAGGCAAACTTGAAAAGGTGAATGACTTTCTTGATCCTCAATTGGAAGCATCCGGGGTGATAATCTTCTTTGCATACTGAATTTTACATATATCCATGTAGATCTGTCTATAGTTTCATTAAGTTGTCAAGTCTTTGGTTTGACAATCTCAAGATTAGTTCTTTCGAGTAGATGTTGCCAAACGGGCCCAAACCACACCACAGTGCAGAGTTTATTCTTCGCTATCATCATTATCATTACCTATCACGCTGTTGGTCTTGATGTAACTACACCCAGGTGCTTGCAAATGCTGCCTGCATGACCTCATAATGGTCTGAATTATTTCTTCCTTTTGGTGAAAACGTAATGAACTGTTAATGATTTCTTTATATCAAACAAATTTCCTATTCTACCACGGTATATAATAATTTACCACTTCTAACAGAGAAGCTGACTGGTCTATCCACCCGCTGGTAGGTAGGGCTTATCTATTTGATTTGCTACACTTGCTTTCTTCTTACACATGACAAAGATGGTATAATTATTAAAGCTGTGCATTTAACTTGGAACATAAGTTTCCATCAAAGATGAGAACTATTATTTATACCAGCCATGGGTTTTACGACACTGAAGCCAGCTTTCTTCTTTGATATCATCTGTACTTCATCAATAATTCTATCCAAATGCAGGTTCACAACTGCTACAAGATCAAAGATGCAGAGTTGGGAACAAAAACGCCTACACCAAAACAAAATGATGTCAGGCCAAGGCCATCCCAAAATTCTCGGGTAATCATCGCTAGTGAAACAGTGGAAGATGCTGCAATGACTGCTGCCTACAAGATTGCTGAAGCGGAAAATAAGTCCTTTGTAGCAGCTGAAGCTGTTAAAGAGGCAGAAAGGGTCTCAAGGATGGCTGAAGACACTGAAGCAGTGCTGCAGATAGTGAAAGAGATCTATGAACAATGTAATATATACTAGTTTTAGTTTTTGCTGCTACTTCTGCTAGCTTGACTCATCAGATTCTCTATGGTTTTTTGTCAAACAGGTTCACGAGGTGAAAGTATTCTCTGGGCTTAACTCTATTGTAAGCATGACCAAAGTATTCCTTGTAATTAGTTTTCTCAGTGATGTATATAAGTTCACAGAAAAGAGGGGATAAGCTAATGAGGAATTGGAATGACATTGTAACAGTTGAAATTTTGTGGAAAGATTGAGCTTCGGATTTCAAAAGGATGTGCATACAACCATGCACGGTTGTAGGTGTATGAACAATGAACTGCAAGAACAACTTCCAACAGCAGAGATGATATTTAAATGCAGACTTGACTATACAGGGCAAGCAAGTCAATCCAACACAAAAAATAAAATAAACAAGTAATATGCAAATTTATGAAATTTTGTTGAGTTCTTTTTGTCAAATCTCCCAAGGGCCCTACTTAAACAGAATATGTAAAGTTTAAGAAACCAATTTCACATTAGATAGTAGATAATGAGATAATTCACAATATGTCAACTCATATGGGGGATTTTTTTATTTTTTTTTGGGGGGGGAGGGGGGGGGGGGGGGGGGGG